CTGTAGATCTCTTTGGATTTCTCTTCCTTTTAAGAACTTTCAGTAAATTTCTACTACAAACATACTTTTCTAACATTTCAATTTGGTTCTTTTTTTATTGTTTGCATTTCTCTATTTGCTTTTTTATTGTTTGCATTTCTCTATTTACTTTAAAGTCCTTGTCTGCTACTTCCAATTCTCAATCATCTTGTGGGTCTATTTCTATTGACATATTTTTCTTCATTATAAGTCACTTTTTTCTGCTTTGCATATCTAGTTATTGTTTATTATATAGTAGATATTGATAAAGATACATTGTAAGGATTCTGGATTTTATCATCTTCCTTTAAAGAGTGTTGTGTTTTGTTTTGCTAGATAGTTAAATAACTGGCGGGTCCTTTTGTTTGTGTGAATTTGGTTTCATTATTTGTTAAGGTGAGTCTCTTAATTTTTTACTTAATCAAAGAATGCTGCTTGTTGAGGTCTTCAGCTGAATACCCGAGGTGCTCAGTGGGAATCTCTCTTAGCCTGGACCAAGCTTCAGCATCTCTCAACAATCACTTATCTTTCTGGTCCCTCAGCACTTAATACCATTCTTTGAATATAGTAAGAACTCACTATTAGTTCAATTCAATTGCATAAACACTAAGGTGGCTTTTATGGACACAATGGCACAGGGAAATATTATTTAGACCAAAACCTAACTTTGTACTTTGCTAACTCTCCTATTGTAAGCTTTATTTTGAAGCTGGATTGTGAAAAAGAAAATTTGGCCAATGTAGAAAATCTCTATGACAACTTTGAATCACTTTTAGAGTTTACAAAGATTTTTAAATTTTTATCTTGTATAAATATCACAACTATGTTAAGTAGATTTTCTTATCTCCATTTTGCTCTTGAAATAACAGACATAGTGATTTTATGGAATGCTCATTATTATATAAGTTAGTAACTAGCATTTGGAGTCCAAATCCAGTATGTTTTACTATGTAGGAGAACATGCTATTTGTTTACAAAAGTAAGTTTTTGTAGGTCAAACAGTTCCACATGAGCAGTTTTAAATGATTCAATCTGGTAGCTTCATCAGTCCAGATCTGACTTCCTAGAAAGCATATTTTTATCAAAAAATGACAATACTCTGATGTTAGATAAAACCCTCAAGTAAAATACCAGCCATTTCTTTTCTTTACACAAGTGTGAATCCTTTCTCAGTGAACAGCAAATAAAAAGTTGGCTTTTAAAAAATTTAATTCATTTGAAATATAAAACATTATCGCTACAACTTATCTTCTCTTACTTAAGCAATTCATAGTTCATGGTTTTGGTTTGATATACAAAATCATTTACTTTCTTTCCTTAGCAGTTCTCCTGGCTACTTATTCCACAACTGCCTGGAACAACCACGAGTTTATTATCTCAGAGGGCTGTATAATAATTGTACTGTTGTAGACTACAGATTAATGTTTTGGATGGGAATGGGTATGTTTTAGTCAAATTGCGCAATATGTTAAATGTCTTGTGTAAAATAAGATATTTCAAAATATCTTCAATGACTCCTACTGTCATGTGATTACAGGATTTTAATTCTTACAAATCCAGTTTTCAAGTTATGTCCAGTAAAATCCAGTGGCAATTTTTTTTAAGTGATAGTATTTTTTGACAATGCTGTTTGTTTTGCATTTGGATGAGAAGCTGTAATTTGTTACCCCAGTTAGTAGAGGGATGACATAATTATAGATTTTTAACTTCTTTCATTAGTTTTTTAAGAAAGAAAAAAAAAGTTCTTTGAAACAAGTACCTTAGAGCTAGTTACTCTGTCATTTTTTCCTAATGTCACTCCTTTCCTTGTTTTTTGTTTAATTAATAGAATTATTTTAAGGCAGTTTTAAGTTTACAGAAAAATTGAACAGGTAGTACAGAGAGCTCCCATATTTCCCCCTTCCCTGTTCATAATTTCCCCTATATTTAACATCTTGCCTTAATGTGTTATATTTATTGAACCAATATCGATACATTATTATTAACTAAGGTCTGTAGTTTACACTGTCTCACTCTTTGTGTTGAACAGTTCTGTAGGCTTTGACAAATGGGTAATGCCATGTATTCACCCTTATAGTATTATACAGAACAGTTTCAGCCCCCTAAAAATCCTCCATATTTAATCTGTTCATTCCTCCTGTCCTTCATCCCCTGAACCCCTGGCAACCAGTGATCTTTTTACTGTCTTTATAGTATTGCCTTTTCCTGAATGTCATATAGGGAGAGTCATAGAATATGTAGCCATTTCAGACTTTTTCCTCCATATCTGCTCATAGCTTTATAACTCATTTCTTTTTATTGCTAAATAACAAGTTCTTGGATTTTGAAAGGTAAAAAATAATTTTTTAAAAAAGACAATCTCTTTCTAAAGAGAAATTTACCAAGTGCAAAAGAGAACATTAGCCTATATTTAAGTGTGTTTAAAACAAGAAAGCAGGCTAATCGGGATCTAAGGCTTATGCTGAAAAAAAAAAAATTCAATTGAAGTGCTAAAATATTTCATGTGTTTTATATATCTGTAAGTTTGTAAAACCTTGGATTCCTACTATGTGCTGGCATAGTCTTGTTTATACCTCATAACGGTCCCAGGAATTAAGTAACATCAACCCTCTTTTATGTTTGAGAAAAGAGATGCAGAAAAATGAGTTACCGTATAGTGAATCTACCAGTCACCAAGTCCCGCCCACATATACAAAACTTCCTATATTTTTAGTGCTGTTTTTTTAAATATGTAGAGTCATAGATCACCAAACCTATAAGGAAGGCCTTCTACTAAAAGACACAGACCAGCAGAACTGAGTTAAAACAAAATCCTCAGAAACATGAGAAGATATTACAACTATGAAAAATCAGATTTTCTTTTAAGTAACATAGAAAAAAGATTTACTGGAAATTAAAAAATGATGTACAAATTCAGTGAGCTTTACAATAAAAGAGTTGGATGATAAAGTTTAGGAAATCTCTCAGAGGATAGAACAAAAATACATATGAAAAGTAATAGGAAATGGCAAAATTATTAGAAAATTAATGTAGTATATCAAGATTCTTCTAATAGAAGAAGAGAGAACATTGAGAAAGAGATTGTCACAGACATCAACTTTTTCTGTAACTGAAGGATTGCAAAAGTACCATCAGATGCCTACTACATTGAAATGATATACACTTATGTATATCATTATGAAATTTCAGAATACCAGGGATCCTAAAAGTATACAGAAAGGGGGAAATCACATACAGATGATCTCAAATCAGAATTATATCAGACTTGGCAGAAGAAGAGTTATGCTTTTTATAACTCAAATTCAACCCAAAATGCTATGACTAGTCCAACTATCAGTCCAGGACAGAATAAATATGTTAAAACACATGGAAGATTCCAAAATACTTTGCCTTCTGTGAACTCTTTCTTAGAAACTTCTGGAAAATGTATTCCACCAAAATTATGGAGTAAATCAAGAAAGAGTAAATAATGTCTTACCAAAATTGGGAATTAAATATAGGGGAGAGCCAAAGGGAATGAGGTGATTGTAAAGAGAAGAAGACAACAGCTGTTCAGTAATCTAGGAAGCAATTCACAGCCACTAAAACAAGAGAATAGAGGGCTTCGGGAGAGATATCTTTTCCACCTATTCTCACCCAAATGAAACATTACATGTGTTTTATCATTTTGAAAATAGTTCACTATTTCTGAGAGATAGGATAGTAATGGATGAGAATAAAGGAACCAAAATTTAGAGACATTATTTCTACCAGAGTCACAAATACTTCATGGATCTTGGAATTAAAACTGAGAAACCATAATCCAGGATACATGCTTTATTCACAATGCATTATATCAAAATTATAATGCAAGATAGAAAACAGTAATTTCCTAGCATGAGAGATTACTTTTTAAGAATAATTGCATATTTAATGTACAGTTTACAGAGTACTTTTACATAATATTTTGGTAATGATAAAGTGCTTTGGAAGGATTTTGAGCTAAGAGGTGACATGGGTTAAGTAAATGGAGAATGGGATATCTGCCAATACTGATAATCAGGGTGGAATTGGGTGGATTCCAGTAAATTTTCAAGATTCACTGTAAACATTTTATGGTGTCGGTAGGGTGTTATGGAAGCAGATGCAAGTGACTTTTCCATTGCCAGTGATTTAAAGACTGAACTACAACCTCTGATCTGGACCATTGACTTGACTTCAATCTTTTACTGGGTGACAGATGTGTGTCAAGCTGTGTTGAGCACTTTGTTTACAAAAATCTGTGGTCCAAAATTATTTACCTTTGGAGATTAAACAGTATTAAAAAGATAAACTGTTTAGACAGCATTTTCTCTCTTTAGCTGCAAATTTTTATTTTAACCATATTAATTGGAAATTTTCTAAAATGAAATGAGGATTTCTCTTCTTAAGCGGAGTAGAGGAATCTTAAACTTTGATTTTTCTTCTAATTGATGTCTGTGTTCTTTCTGTAGAATATCAAGTGCATAATGTTATAGAGCTTTTTAAAAAATATATTTCACTAGATTAGCCATTGCTCAAATAAATAGACCCCTGTCTAAAAACATGTTTAACTCTATTTTAAATATTATGTAAGAAATAACATTTTATTTTATTTCAAAAAAGTGAAGATATTATCAGAGTAAATGAAGTAGACTCTTAAATAGATATTATATCCATGATGTTTAAATAATACAAACATATATACTATATATGTATGTATATATGTAGATAATAACAAATAAAACACAATATATGCATATACTTACATATATAAATGTATGCATATGTATGTATATAATAATACAAATTATCCCCACTATCCCATTCATTAAAATGCTAATTAATATTGACATTATTTTTTTACTGACATCTTTTCTAATTATCATCCTAGCTATATTTGAGTATATGCTTTTAGAAAAGATTTTTTTCATAAACATAGCAATTCAAATCTCTCTCTCTATTTTTTTTAATTTTCTATCTAGAAATTGACATTGAACGTTGTGTGCGAGAATCAATCAACCTCTTTTGTTGGACTCCTAAAAGTGCTACTTACAGACAGCATGCTCAGCCTCCAAAGCCAGCTTCTGATAACAGTGGAGTCAGAAGTTCGACACCTTATTTCTCTACGGAGTGTCCAGATATTCTAAAAACAGATCTGGTATGTATTTGCAGATTTCATTTACAAACTCTAAAAGAAAATGAATTTTTAAACTACTATATTTTGGTATCATTATTGCTCATAATAATATAACCATTTATGTCCTTTTAACATAGCTATTTTCTAATATGTGATTGTTTTCATGCAACTCTTTCAGAGAACCTTTTTGTCTATTTAGTTATACAATTAGGAAGATTGTTTTGACATATTCCTTCAAGTAACAAGTTTTACTTTTTTTCTATGTAATCATAATATCTGTTTACAGATCGACTTGTTACATACGGAGAGAACTACAAAGCAAAGAAGATGGTTAGCCAAATAGCAGAATAGTAGTACATAATATTGTATTTTAAATGTCTTTTTTTAAACTATGAAATTAATGCCTAATAACATAAAAAAGTATTTTGTGCATAGCATATTTTTTCACATTTTAAATGACAACATAAACATATAAAGGATTATACATCTATAGTATCAATGTTGAATATTATATATAATAATGAGAGAAAAATATTGATTATGCAAATAAACTTCATCTAAAATATAATCTAAAAGTAATTTATATTTAGTTTTAGAATATATTTTATATATTCTCTGTATACAGGCCTACTAATAAAATATGCACATCATTTAGAGAATTTACTCTTTTTAACAATGAAAGACAGCATTGTTGAATACTTGATTCAAGAGGAGACAAGCAGCAGCTGATTCCATTTCTCAGCAGAACTTTTTATTTCTTTTATTTTACTACATATCCAATGTACCGCTTAACTCATATGATAGAGAATTTAGGAAATAACTTTGAAATTTATAATCTTGATGTCTTTTACTAATATAAGGTTCGACCTCTCTCAAATCTTCCATGAAAGCAGAGGATTTTTTTTTTTATCAGAAAGCAATAGAAGGAAATAAATAATCACAAAAGGCAATCAAATTCTTAAGGACGAAAGGTACCACGTCTTAACATTGCAGTAAGCAAAATTTTCCAGCAGTAAGGTGAGATTTCTATAGTCTTAAATATAATAGAGAGATTGAGGGATAAACTGGCTAACATCCACAACCAACAAGTTAATTAATCAATAAATTAGATTGACTCTGGTTTTTCACCTTTTGCTTTGTTCTCTGTACAGGTAGCAACCATCTTCACTAATGAACTGTTACTGGTTAGATATGGCAAAGAACTCCTAGTTATAATAAATAAATGAACTACTAAGTTTAGACTATATGGATAGTGACATTTGTCATCATGTTGAAAATTAGCTTAGACCATAAGAGAATTGGGATAGAGAGAGGAAAGGAAAAAAATCACATACTCAAGAGAACATCTGATATTGTTCTAACAGCTATACATACTTTGTACCTCTACAAGCAGAGAAAACTATTGAAATTAACTTTCTCCCAATATGGAAAATCATTAATCTAATGCTGAGTATGTTTTTCCCTTGGTGACACAAAGCTGTCACCATTGGGGCCGATCAGAGTTTGATGTCGCCCCAACACTAGGGGAGAAGAAGAGGGATAATGATGGCGCAGATCCGTAGTTAGCATTTTTCCTCTGTTTTCCTCAAATAGTACAGTGAAGAATCACAGATCATTGAAATTTAATAGTTTTATTAAAAATGTATTTTAGAAAGACAAAAAATGCCATGGAGGCCCATGGAGAAAGACAAAGTATACTCCAAGGAGGCACATGGTTCCAGCGCTATAACCAACCCAAAGGGGCCAAAATGGCTAGAAAAGGGCAAAAAGGCCACAAAAGGCCACCAAAAAGAGAGTGAACCCTAAAGGGCAAAAAGGGAGGGGAGCCCCAAAGGGCAAAAAGGACCCAGAAGTGGGAATGTCTGCCTTATATGTTAGCCCTGATGGGTGGTTCCAAAGGCATTCCTAGGTGATTGGCAAGTGAGGTCATTTTGATTGACACTTGACACTTTTGATTGACACTTAACTCTGCCTAGTGCGCATGTGCATACCCAGAATTCTACTAACATTCGGGTGATCTCTGGACGATCTCTAGGCTGGGCCCCTATTCCCTTGTTCCCTCTTTTTGCTTATGTCTGACTAGCTACCTAACATGGTGATTCTCAATTTGTACGAAACCTCTGTCTCTCACCCCCAAAGTCTCCCTAGGGCATACGAATAATCTGTATAATTGTCAAGATCCTTTAGCAACCTCTTCTTCCTATCCTTTTCTCAATCTACATTTTAAGAGAGCAAACTTCATTCTTTAGTTGTCCTTTGGCATTTTTTTTTCAGTATATTCGTACTTGAAGATATATACCAAAGTGAGAGAAAGTGAGAGTACAGCATGGTTGAGCCAGGCTGAGTTTTTTATTGTTTTTTTTTTTTTCTTTCCTCATTCTTAGATTATTTACCAAGGGCTCTATTGTGTTTATTTAAATAGATAAATGTATATTTGTGCCTGCTTATACAGATAAATCTTTAAACACTGAGTGGAACTATTGGAAGGGGAAATGGGCATTATAACTTAATGTTTTGACCTTAAAATTTGGGGAAAGGTAAGAAATTCTTAGAATTCAAATGAGGTGGCTGGCAGTACTTTATCACCACCATTGAATTGCTGATGAATTAACTGCTGCTGATTCAATCTCAGCATTAGCTTTAATAACAATAGGATCGTATGAATAATTTTCAATTTCAAGAAATTATAAACAACTTAGAGAAAAAGTGTATCAGAGACATTAGTTCTTTTGAATCCAACGGAACTGTTGTGAATGTGGGTGGCTGTGCATTTTCCAGAAGCCATTTTTATCATTAAATTTACTATTTTCTGCTTGGTTACTTGTAGTTTTTATCAGATTTAGATTATTTTTGAGAGTACATAGTATTATGACAATGAAAGTTACTACATTATACTTTCGCTGTTGTCTTTCATACTTACTTTGAGATTTAAAACATCATAGAATCATTTAGCAGTTTTTACAGAATTGATCCAGTTCTTCAATTCTTGTTAAGTCTTTGAATTACTACCATCTACATTTGATGAAAAGATATTACTGTTGCTCTGTGCATATAATACTTATTGGACAGTTGTTATTTTTAAGATATTATTATATGTCTATACTCAGAAATAAACCTTTTCAAGTGATTGTGGAGCTTTTGCAAAAAAAAAATTAAGAAGTGGAAATAATGCAGACATTTCTTAGATTATTATTTAGTCAAATTGGAAATAATAAGAGATTTTTAAAAATTTCTTACCACCTAGAAATTAAAAAATAAACAAATCAAAAAATAAAGTAAAATAAGCACCCTCTTTTTAACTCTTTAGAAAAGAAAAATGTACCAAATGAAAATTCTGAAATATCTAGAAAATAATATGAGAAGCCTACACATCAGAACCTGTGAGGTACAGCTAAAATAGGCATTCCTCTTATTACTTTAATAATGCCTTACACACACTATATATTTATCGATTGTCCTTATCAAGTCGTTTTATTTCAGGTAGCATTTGAATGATAGATAGGATCTAGAAAAGTAAAGGAGATTAAGAATTCCTTTTTTATCATTATGAGCAATCTCAATACCACCCCAATTAAAGATTTATGGAAAATAAAAATAATGTTGCATATTCATCTAATTTTGTTTTACTTACTCTTTCCACATATTGTACTTTGGTAGAGAGTCTATTCACTAGAATAGGTCACATTTCCTCTGCTAATTAAGAAACTTGCAGCGCTGTGGAATTCCACTGTTAATGTTCTGGTGTATTAGGTATGCAGAGGCTAAGATTTTATGATAACACACAGCTTGTGACTTTGTGAATATTAAATACTTAAATAGTTGAAAGAAGCTGGGTAGTTGTAATCATTCACAGTAAAATTAAGGCATTCTGAAATATTCAGATCTGAAGTTATGATTTAAATAAATTAATATAGTTATTGTAATCATGCATTTAATCATCTTTTACTTTGAATGTACCTTTCTTGAGTTCTACAGTCTAAGCCTACCAAAGATCTTTTCTTCTTGTTTGTGATATCGTCATATTGTGTGTGCAAGTTGTATTTGATTTTTCTTACATTTTATTTAAATGATCAGTTTTCAAAAATATATTCCACTCCATAGTAAATATCATGGGGGAAAATGTTTGACTTCATATTTATAAGATGAGGCTATGCAAGTAACTGAAAGAGGAGAGGAGAAAAAACCATCCAAAAATAAAAAATAATGACAAAGCCAGGGAAGCATATTCTTAAACTCTATGAACTTGGGTTGATTTTATTCTGTATTTTAATTAATTATGAGCTCTTATGCTGAGAAGAAAGGTGTTAGTGGAAGTTCTGAATTTATGGCAAGAAATGCCTTGCTTGGTTGAGAGGACAGTAAGTACACCAACAAGATTTCTGAAGTATGGCTAATGTTAAAAGGGGAATCTTGCTATGAACAGTCATTTCTATGCAGAGCTGATCCTCAGAGGAGAATATCTTTGATCTGCCTCTAAGCTAAGTCAGGTTTTTATTTCCAGTAGTCAAAGAGAGAAATCCTCTAAGTTAGAGAGAGTTAATGAGAACTTGTTTCTCAAGTTACGTAAACAGCTGACATTGAGTAGTCCATCAGAATCAGACACTTCATCAAGGACTGGCTGGGTTAAAATTATGTGGAAAAGCTATATCTATTAATATCATATTAAGAAAAATGAAATTTAATAGAAAAAGGCTTATTATTTTTGAAATCCATACTATATCATTTTTTAGTGTTTAATAGTATAGCTAATTGTTTTCTTTACATATAATTTATCTTTTATTATTTATAATAGCCTGTCATATTTTCATTCATTTTCCACGAACATGAAGTTACCAGATTATTCAGTTATTATTCAGTTAGCTATTTATACCTGAGAGCAGCATTAAAACTTCCTGGAAAAATTCTTAAATTCTTGGTAATAAATATCCCCACATCTTTAAAAAAGGAATAAGTAATTGCAAGAATATCACGTTATTGTCTCAATTACATGTAAATCTAAACACAGAGAATATCACCACTCT